GTAGAAGACGATCAGACCGCCTCCATGAGATATAAGCTGGGTTTGGTACCTCTTTGGGTCCCTCAGCATCAGTGCTGTCAGTTGGGGTGATTTTGGCTGCCGGCATGACATACTCTCCATCTAGGAATCCCTGCATGTCTTGGCTTTCAATTAAGGCGGCCATTTGAGTCCTCCATAATAGATAGTTGGTAGGAGTAAGTCTTAGGGAAACAAAGTTTGACACATTGAGGGTAGAAGGATATGGGTAGCTACTGTTTTGAGATGGAGCCATTACAGAATGGGAACAAGAGAATAGGAATAAAATTGAAAGAAACTCTCTGATTCCTCACCGACAAGGCTCTGATACCATAAAAATAGATTTGAAATCAAAGTTTCTCTCTCAAGGTGAGAAGAGAAAGAGAGTTTCTTCTATTTATAGTTGCATTATACAGAAAATAGCATGATTTAAGGTATGATTACAATATAAATTTGCAACAGCTATATCTCCAACGGTTGCATTTTACAATTTCTTTGATTGCTGATTTTCCTCCAAAGCATTATTGCCATTTGATTTGTTTCCTTCTGCAGGTTCTACAAAATGATCCTCACAAGTTGAGACTTTATTAGTATAACCCCAACTCTTCTGGTAAGGACTCTAAAACTTCACAACTATAAATATATAATTCAACGAGATTGCTGATGCAATCAAGATTGGGTAAACTTTTCAATATTTTACAGCTGTCAATTTTAATGGATTGGAGTCCCGTACAATATTGCACTATCCTTTCTGGAAATGATTCCAACCGCTCGCCACCATCATTAACTGTAAATTTCTTGAGAAAAGTTGGTAGCCGATGACAACCCTTGGAAGAATGCAAACATGGAACCTTCCTTATTTCCAAATGTAGATTGCTATTATTGTCACCATCCACATCCGGTAGAGACTCTAGACCTTTACAGCCTTCTATTTTCAAGTATTTAAGTGTGACAGGTAATCTGCCTCTTGGAAAAGACTTGAGAGAATCACAACCATAAATTTCAAACTTTTCAAGTCTCAACATCAACATACCAGTGTTGCTGCTACTGCTTCCATCCATTTGCACCAGCATTGCATTAGGTAATGACTCCAAAGCTTTACATTGCTTAAGACTAAGATGTTTAAGATTGAAAGGTGAGAGGCTTTGTTCTACTTCTGGCCCTTCCTCCCACAAACAAGTAAGATCATCGCAATCTCCAATAGATAGAGTCTCAAGTGTTGTCAAGAACTGTGTAAAATTCTCAGGCAAGGAAGGCAGTTCTACAATATGCTGTATTCTCAAGTTAGTGAGGGAAGTGAGATCAACCATGCTCTTTAAAAGCACCTTGTTGCAGTTTTCAACATACAACTCTTTTAACGATGGAAGACTCATACTCATAGGCAAGCAAGTCAGTTCTGAAATTTTCTCAATTCTCAAATTAGCAAGCGAGGTGAGATCACCCATACTCTTTAATAACATTGCATTGCACCTTCTAACATCCAACTCTTTAAGTGAAGAAAGGTTGCTGGGTAATTGGCCTAACAACTTAGGACAATTTTGAATCACAAGCCTACGAAGACAAGGGAATTCACCTTCACTTCTAGTTGGAGAAGTCCATTCCTTCCAATTTGACATGTTTTGAAACGCCAGTTCCTCCAACGATCAAAAAGATTCATGCTGCCCATAAAACTCAGGACCCACAGCTTTTATTGCCTTCATGCCTTCTATAATCAATTTTCTGAGAATAGGTAATAGGCCAAGTGATGGTAACAAAGTGCATCTCTTACAATTGCTGAGCTCCATGGATGATAAATTCAAAAATAATAATGGATCACAAATCCAGTTTAGGTATCTCTTACCACCATAGCAAGAAATTTTGATTGAGACTTTTCAAATTTGAATGAGGTTTTAACCAGTTGAGGACTTGCTTTTGGAGGATTAATTCATCTCAATCATTGTCAGGAGCAGCCCACCCCAAGACTAACTCTTCCAAACCATGGATCTTGTCTAGATTGGCCTCCCTAGCATCTTGAATGTCCAAGACATTCTGCAGATCTAGAATAGACAATCTTCCTCGAACTTGCGACAAGTTCTTTAAATCAGATAATCTCATCAATCCACTTGCCTTCCCCACGATAAGTTTGGGCAGTGTTACAAGATTTTTAAGATTGCCTATTCCTGATGGCATTTCTTGTAAATATGAAGTATCAAAAATATCAAGATGATGGAGATCAATTAGATTCCCAATCGTTGTAGGCAACTTAGTAAGCTTTCTACAACCACAAAACAGCAATGTTTGCAAGAAGAGAAGAGAACCCACTGATTCAGGTATAAATTTGATTTGTGTACCAGACAAATCAATGTACGGAATATGTTTCAGAGTTTCAAAAGAATCAGGTAGCTTGCTTATTTGATATCCGCAAAGAGATAGCACTCTTAAGCGATTTAAAGTTGGCAAGAAATCATGCAAGACTCTGTTAGATAAATAGGAATTAGGGCTATAATTGAGCACTCTTAGTGGCAAAAATGTTCTCAAAGGCTTCAATTTATCCAAGACTATGAATCTTTTTGAGATTTCATAAAGGTGTGGAGTGAATGACAAATGACGAGCCTTCTCTAATTTTTCATCACCCATGCTACGTTCAAGATTGCAATATATTTCTCTAGCAACATTTACAACTAAATCATGTATGAGGTCGTGCATCACAAATCGTAATTCAACTCCACTTGATTGTTGAAAGAGGGATCTTGATAACAACTCTTGGAAATATTGATGACTTATTTCCTCTTCCATTTGCTTCTTTCCATGTGACTGTTGCTGTAACAAGCCCTCAGCCATCCATAAAAGAACCAACTCCTTTTCATCAAATTCATAGTCTTTAGGGAATAAAGCACAATAAGCAAAGCATCGCTTCAAGT